CTAGAATTAGAAATAATTTGCTCCTCACGTTTTCATCCACTAATCTACGTTATTAGGCTAGCCGTATATGTAATTACTAGTACATATGTCTTACTCTCACCTGAGGATCACCATTATGTCTATATATCAGTTTTTTTTTTACTACTCAGAAACACCAATGGAATAGAATACAGCCTTAAAGGCAGCGCCAGTCTATAGTTTAACAGTTACGAAACTTTTCGGTTTACTTTTCATACACTCCAACCGCCCGCAACATATACCCTCAGCGTAACAATCACATACACTTAGCCGATCAGTTCGCAAAACAGGAGCGCACAACTCGTCAGTTGACAGGAAAGGTTGAAGTAGTAGTGTGACTGTTGTGGAGAAAAGGACAAGCCGGCATGCCCATGGCGAAGCCCACCCGATCGACCTCTTCTTTGTTGCTAACAGACTGCTCTCATTCCCGATGATGATATTACCCCTCCTCGTCTACTACATAATTTTCAACATCCTCCGCATCTCCACAGTGGCGAATGACGACGGAGAACCCAAAAATCACACATGGGTTCCGAGTACCCAATGTTCATCAAAACGAGTTCCATGTCAGTCCTTGTATAGAATCACCCAGATTTCTTTCTGCACTTGGCCTTCCAGCGATGTTTACGGCGCTTGTTCCACGCTCTTGCCAGTGGACGCGTCACTTTCGGTGAACTGCTTTCCACGATAAGTTTCCTTGGGCAGGAAGCTCCATTATGCAGACTTTTCCACAAGTTTCTGGTGTAGCTGTTCCTCAGAACTTTTCTTGATTTCTTTCTCTTGTCTGCCCTTGTCTTGGAAGCATCAGCCCTTTCACTCTGCGTTGGTCTGGGCTGTCCTATTCGGGGGGTTGACACTGTCTTGACATTTCACATCTTCGCAAAGATATGTCACTCCAACCACAGTCTCTCTATACTTGACTTTGGTGGCTTACCCGAAGTGCCGTAGTTTTGATAAGTACGGGCAGTAGACTTCCGTTTTTTTGTTGACTTTAAATTTTTCTTTCCTTGGTGAAATGGCCTTGATTTCCTTTCATCAGGTATTTGGTTGCACAGACGCGAGGACTGCAATACAACAAAATCTGGCATCTTCGGCCTGCAATCATCCTCAAGCTCTGGTGTGTCATTTTTTTGGATATCCAGATGCCTTCTGCTTTTCCTTCGTACAAGTCTCTTCCAGCGTGTGCACTTGAGTTGCTGTAACTGTCGTGTCGTTTGCTTCATTGATAGTGTACGCTGATGAAAGTTCTAAAGGCGTGGGCCAGTTCTTTAGAAGTAGCGGTTGTTCTGTACATGCTTGGATGCTCGTTACAGTGGCAACATCGGCGCTTTTCCGGCTTCCAGCACGTTCAGCAATTCGTCGTGAGCCTGAGTCGTCTAGCTTCCGTAGAACAAGATTGCTGCTGAAGAAGCAAAGGCTAGATGGCGGCGCCACAGATGAAGAGTCCACGTTAGCTTGTACTTCTGTCCAAATCCTTTGCCTCATAGCCTCCAAGCGAGCTTGTCGAGCCTTTAGTACGTCCGCTATCTTATATTCCACTCTGACCTTGGCTAGAATGATCTGGTGTTCATAAAGCTCTGCTACCAAATAATCGATTTCAACTGTGTTTTCAATCTCCTTATCAATTCCTCTGAGAAGCTCATACTACTGTTCAATCAAAATTCAGAGAATGTTGCGCAACTCACACATTGATGGCTGGTCTACATGCCGTAGGTGTTCAATATCTGCGATGACCTACGTGACGACCTTGCGTGCTTGACTGCGCCTTTCGTAGAGGGCCTCCATGATCCGGTCCAGTGTCGGAAACGGGAGAAATCACTGGCCGGCCATGCCACGAGGAGAAGTCGGAGTCAACCCGGCATCCATCGCAGAAGGTTCGCACAACGAATATCTGTCACTTGTTGGGCTGTCGTTCTTCATGATCTTGTGCATATCGGGCCATCACCGTGAAGGGCGCGCTAGGACTGAGCCGAAGAAGCCGTGAGGGCTCCCGTATCGTGAGCCTCCAGACGATGCCTGCACTAACGGGGCTGCACTGTTAAGATGCACGTCGTTGACCTATGGACTGTTTTCACTTCTGAGCATCCGGCCGTCCTCGTGAAGGGGGAGTCAGGACAGAGCCGAAGTATACGTGAGGGCTTCCGTCTCGCGAACCTCCAGACGATGCCTGCACTCATGTCAGTCCATGGGTGCTCCTAGTAGTCTTAGTGGCAACCGGAGTCGGGCTCCCAGGTCACAGCGGTGGTTAGACCTCGCATGTCAGCTTTAGCCACGGTGGCTTCACAAAAGTTGTCGAGGCTACGACTGCAGTCGAAATTCGTGAAGTCCGCTGCATCTCACCTCTGAAGGTCCTTCCTCCCGGGTTTCACGGCACAGAAATGTAGAGGAAAGGACGAGCCGCCGTGCCTATGGCGACGAAGCCCACCCGATCGACCTCTTTGTTGTTGCTAGCATACTGCTCTAATCCCCGATGATGATATTACCCCTCCTCGTCTTCTACATAATTTTCAACAGCGTCCCACTCAAAATCAGAAAAACTCCAACATTTTACATACAGCTTCCCCCAACTGTTTCAGTTTGATAATACACTCAAACTTCATTATAATAAAGTTGCATCTTACTCGATAAGATTGTTATATGAGATAATTTGTTATAAAGGTATATCCCTAACACTATACCTACTACAAGACTATTTTTCATTTACTTCGTTATAATGAATATTTCGTTATATCGAGGGTTCGTTGATATTATATTAATGTTTGACTGTAAATAAGGCAGCATTCAATACAGCAACATAAATGAGAAAATTATCAGTAAACTTGAGTACTATTTTTCTGGCACAGCAGAAGACATGTGCTTTGGTTTTGTAGTTTCCACAGTGTTGTCAAGAAAAGCCGTCACTGAGTATAGCAGTACTACAGAAGTAAGGCAGAATGAATTCCTTGGATAACGCACTGTTATATGGGAAATCTATGAGGAAAAAAAATGCAGTTAGTTCACTTCAATAAATTTTTGGCTCATGCATGTTGGCAATGATGTCATAGAGCATGTTCCACGTTTTCATATCCCAAGGAAGAGCAGAGTTATTGTGTACGCGCGTAAGACCTGACAGATGTCCAAAGGATGACTATTGTTTAGACCAAGAGAGATGTCGTTTTATAAGAGGCACCGTGGTATGACCTAATATCCCAATATGTCTGAACATGTAGAAGTGAAAGTGAATGCTTAACTTTTGTTGCACTAGATACAGTCCAGGAGTGCAACAGCCGAAACACAATTTGGAGCAATTTTCGGAGCAGCAAAATGTTACTTTTGAAGCACTGTAATCTGAATTTCGAGCAGGTTACAGGGGAAAAATCAGACAGTATTTATCATGAAATACCAAATTTGAAGCAGCATAAATAAAAAGGCTTACATTTTGAAAAAACATATATGTATAAACCATTCAACATCCCCTAAATCGTGCAGTGTGAACATGAGCACAGCTATTTCAATAAAATAGCAGTGCTTAACATTTCAATAATAGTAGTATTTCGAACCACGCCACTTAGCAAACAGTGATGAAGTCCATATTAGCCTTTGCTGTACCTGCCAAATTTTTTGACAGACTTTGCGAATTTAAATATGGATCTGCCAAGCTTAGGACCTTGAAAATCGGAAGACTCGCAAAAACCGAGAAGTAGGGGTGGCGAAAAAAAAAAACTGGTCCACAATTTATTTAGTTTCTTTAGAGAAGCAGAAATGTCATACACCGCTCCATATGGTTGCCAGTAGCTTAATTAGACGTAAGTTATTGTACTGGTAATCAAAATTATGCGGCATACAAACGCATGAGTAATCTAGCAAAATGTGGAGTGTCCCGTACATAGCACTAACGGCTTCTTCCAAATCTCAATATGCTTTTCCGCTGGGCACCGATGTACTGCGGCAAAGGTGGCTTAAGCAGCCTTTTGCACAGGTTACAACCAAAGCCAAGAAATTTTCTAACTGCTACACATCCCCCCACTTCCTACCATATTTCTTCTTTCACCGGGGGAGCGGGGGGGGTTAAGTGCGGCTTCGGCTCCCTTAAAAAGTGCATTCAAGCAGGTAAAGTAACACCAGCATGCGCCCATTGGCCCGGTGACGGTACCAGATATCTATCGACAGGACGTGGCAGGGACGACGTAACTTCAAAACAAACAAAAAAAGTTTGATGTGCCACTGCTAAGGCAATCAACGTGGTCACTGACAATGCCGGCGTTCGCAGCACGTCGAGCTAGTTCGCGCGAGAAAAACGCGCCATACGCTTCCAGTTATAGTTCCTAACAAGCCATAGCCGCGTTTTCAGGCTAGGAAACTTGCATTTCCCGCGAAGCATTGGTGGCTACAGCAATGCATTTTTGTTTTGAAGTTCCATCGTCCCGTTAATAGACATCCGCTGCGACCAACAGATCGATGAGCGCACAGCGTTGTTACTTTATCAGGTCGTATTTTAAGTACAGTCTAAGCACTATAGTTGGGGTCGGCGCGCTTTGACGGATGGCGCAAACTGCAGATGGTCGATGTGGCCTGCATTTCTCGCTGAAATTAGCGCACCTGAGAAAATTCTGAGGCTTGCTTGCCATTTTAGCGTAGCGTGGTGCAATTTCAGCGAATTTCGCAGTTATGACGCAGCTCAGTGCAAAAATTGGAAATTGTATCAAATTGGCACAATCGGCGCAGTGGTTGCACAAATTCTGTTTAGTCTGTTTCATTGCTTCATTGCTCCAAGACTAAACAGACTGTTTAGTCTTGGAACAATGAAGCGAGCTACACGTTTCTGAACAGCTTCAATTGCTTCAACATATCTCATGGGAGTAGGGACCATTCAATTAGCGAGTTCTCATGGTAGTAGCGACCGTTCAGTTAGCAAGTTAACACTGCTGCAAGATTGAGCTGAGATTCTGCAATTCCTCCCAATTAGCAGCCCAAAGCTGATCTCAAGAAAAAAAACACTCAACTGCTTCTTCCAAGCATGAGCGGCCTCCAGGAAGGCCCGACGTCCCAGCTGCTGCCGTGTGATCCCCTGCTCAGCCCAGAGCTGCTTCTCTACGACCAGCTGAGTGGCAATTCCAGCATGGTCGCAGCCGGGCGCCCACACCACTCGCTTGCCACACATACGATGCCTGTACAAACAACAAAAGAATGGCTAAAGTGGCTGCACAGTATTCTTTTCATAAAAAAATTGCCAGGCCTGGGCGGAACACGCGGCACAGTCACAGCGAAAGCATGAAGAGCAGCCTTCCGGACACTTCTCCAAACACTCTTTGGATGAACGCTAGAAACACATTTACTGGGTACCCACTACACCATAGATAATCATAATTTCTGTGTAGTAGGCCAGCATTCCCTATGCTATCCTATGTCATTCTTCGGAGAAGCGTAATATCCGCTAAACACTTGCAACAAACTTTGTGCGAATTTAGTGTTGCATTCAGTGGCTGACAATGATGAAGAATTACATCTAAAGTGGGTATGTGCCACAATTATAGCTGATGAAGAGCAAGCTTTTGTAATGCATTGGAGCATTGGACAACTCACTAGTTACGCAATTCATATTGTCTGATGCCTGGTTGTTCTTTTGCTGTTCTAAAATGCTTTATTACTCCTATTAATGCAATTCCTTTCCCAACATCAAGCCTGCCTAAGGTAAGTTTGCAAACGAGTCTTAAGCGCTTGCGTAGCTCAGTGATAGAATACTGGGCTGGTATACAGTGGATTCGGCTTCGAATTCCACCGCTTCACCACAAGTTCTTCGTGTTTTTTATTTTAGGTCTTTTTTCTATTTTGTGCAATAGTGGTTACGAACACCGGTGGCAGCAGTGGACAACTACGGTGCTGCATGTGACCCGTGTTCTGATCTCATAACAGCTTTCGCAGTAAAACCACTAGCTGCTGCAAACTAACATATGCAAAAGCGTGGTGGTTGTCTGCTGAGAGCAGACACAACTTCCGCAACGAATGCATGGTTTACCAGTAACATAATTATAGAAATCGTGCAGTCACCTCACTATTCATGTCATAGAAATTTGGCCATTAACCATCGATATACACGGAGTGCTCGCTCAAACAGCATCATCCTTGACGACCTGCTCGGTCACACAAAGCTTTGTCGATTAACCGCTCTCTTCTCATGAGATTCCCACCATGAAAATGTTTTCCTCCATCTCCAACATTTTTTTAAACCTTCCAAGCGAGCGACACGTGAGGCCGCGCGTGCAAGGCGAGCAGACAACAGTGCGTACAGCGTGCATGAACTTACTGACAAGCGCAGTCGAAAGGCAGGAGCGTGGGAATGAGTGACTGCTTTTTAAAAGAAAGGCAGTGGAACGCATGTACCACTGCACCACAAAGCCAAGCTTGGGAGGCCTATATACACTCGATCCTCTTTAAAATGAAGTTGCACTTAACACAAAAATATGTTTGCTACATCTAGAAATTTGTTGTAAAGGTAAAATCGGAACGCTATATCTATTCCAAGAGTACTTCTTCATTTACTTTGTTATAACCGATGTTTCATTATATCGGGCTTCGTTGTATCGAGGTTTGAGTGTATAAACATACTAGTAAAAATCTACACAGAATCCACAGCCACCATAGTTCTCCATAATGAAAGCGACAGAATCACATTGAAAGCAACAGAAACACAATAAAGAAGAATGTAAGGCAGAGAGACACGATCTTCCTAATGCTATTCACCCTGTGTTAAAAGGAAGTTTTCAGGGCTTTAGTTTAGGATGAATTAGGAATAAGAGTTAAAGGAGAGTACCGTATTTACTCACGTAATCAACGTACTGGCATAATAAACGCACCCCCACCTTCAGTCATCCAAATTTTTATTTTTTTCCCCCCATGTAATAAACGCACCCCCTACATTTATCCGCTGCATTCCCGCTAACCGACACCTCGCGCCTCCTCACCTGTTCGATCTCTTCCATGACCCCTCAAAACCACCTCAGCTCGCTCCCTCCCCTCCTTCACCCATTGCCACATGCCTATTGCTTTTATTTCTATCTGTGGGCGGCACCTCTCCCGTCTTATCTGTGCGCCACAGCGGGTTCATGAGCGGTGCGAGTGTAGAGACATCGCAGCTGATAAGCACACAGTGAGCGAAGGTCACCAAACTGCCTGTGCCAACCGCTAATCGACCTTGGTCGCCTTCTGCAACCCCCACCCCCCTTTTTTTAGCCTACTTTCTTTTTTATTCACTCTAACTGTCCCTTCATTCCACGTTCCTCTGCTTCTGTGAGTGTATCGGTTGAGGTGTCCTCACATGAGAGACAGTTATCTTGCACTCCACACCCCTTTTTACCTTTCCACCTTTTTTTGAAAATCACCCCCCTCTCCCACCACCATCATAAGAAAAAAACCACGTGCACGCAACTTTCCAGCAACGACGGCAGGATTTCCTTTCACGAAGGGTCATTCGTCGCTATCGCGTCGCAGGTTTCTGGAAAACCAGAAAAAATTGCTTGTCCTCCAACGAAGATCGTGACAATTTCCGTAACTTGGTAGCACCCTCAATTCTCGCTTCGCTTGACATCCGCACATAGAGGCACTTCTCATGTAGAAGCGAAGCGGTGGCCATATTTTGTAGTTAATCTTCTTATCGGCGGTTTGTTAATGAGGAAAGCAAAAGAGTACTGAAAATCAATATGCCTCAAACTAAACTAATGTGTAAGAGTCTCGGGAGACAACAGCGTTTTGCAATACGTTGTGACACACTTAGCGTTGTAAATAAATAATATCTAATTACGACAGGTAGTAACCGTGGAGCCCAACCATGAGAGTGAAATAACTAGAAGAATATGGATAGGGTGGAGCACATTCGGTAAGTATTTTAAAACCATAAATGGTAGTTTACCACTATCCCCAAAGAGGAATGTATAGAACAGCTACATATTACCGGTACTTACTGTGGAGCAGAAACATGGAGGCTTACAAGGAGGGTTTAGCTTCAATTGAGGATGACAGGGCGAGCGATGGAAAGGAAAATGATAGGTGTAACCTTAACAGACAGGAAGAGAGCAGAGTGGGTCAGGGAACAAATGAATGTTAACGATGAGACGGTTCATATCAAGATGAAGAAATGGACATCCGCCAAACACGTAGAGCATAGTTTAGACCACCAAGGGTAACCGACTTGATTTCAAGAGATGGCTAGTGTATGAAGGGGAGACAGAAAATTAAGTGGGCAGATGAGACTAGGAAGTTTGTGGGTATAATGTGGCAGCAGCAAGCACACATGACACACATAACACGAAAGTATAGTGAAACACCCACCTTCTTACCCTTAAGTTGTCACGGACTATAGGCAAAAGGAAGAAAACAATTTCTGATGGGTACTTTGGGCAATATCTACTATGGTACTGTATTGTTTTTATTGGTGGCGATGTCGCACGTCAGGAGATGCCTATTTGTACTTGCAAACGCACACTACTGTTTAGTGCCTAACCATGCTACGTTCTCAGCTGGTATAAATTATCGAGGTTTCTCTATATTACTAGGTGTAAATTCACAGCTACTCATGTTGCTGCCATCACTTTTGCGGGGAAACCACGGTGATAACAGCATGGAGAAAAGCACCAGCAAGCTGCATGAATGAACCGAAATACGTGATCGAACTACACCGGGTATGAATGTGCCGCATACTTTGTGTAGCCAATGCTGAGTGTTGCTCGGTCGACGATAATATAGGCTAGATTTGGCAGTTTACACTTCCAATTCACAAATGTGACCGAAATTGCTGTTTATACGCAGCCTGGTGAAGTAGGACAGATCAACACAGAATCGTGCAATCAGCACAGCACTTTTACTTCTGAAAGCATCGATCACAGGTGATAAATTGGAATAGGCTTGGTAACAAAAGAGTTAAAGTCAGTGTTATGGGTCACTCCCAAAAAAATTTTCCATGAAATTCCATTCAACAAAAAGAAAAACAGCTGCAGAACCAATCACTAGGACAATTGATGAGTATTACTTGTGTGATATATTATAACATGTCGGTTCCTTTTTGTTGAATACACATACATCCGAAGTTATCAGATGATTTTCTACAAGACGACTTGGTGCGCAAGTCTCCCCATCCGATTTTATGCGCATAAAGGTCCCCTAGGACAGGGTTCAGCAACCTCCAGAAGTTGAGGGCCCTAGTTTCATAAAACTGACATGGAGGGGGCCCCACGGACGATCCGAAGCAGGAGCAGGGGTCTTTAAAGGCAAAGAGAAAAAATTTGGCAAACTCTAATTGACAATAATGTAAAGAGTACAAATGAAAATAATGCTTATTTTCAGTCACAAGGTTACAATTTACAAACGTAGGTTACAAACAATAACCTCCTTTCAGGCAAAAACTGCCACGTCGGCTTTGAGGTAGGCAGTGATAAAGGAGGGGAAAGGTTTCAGACATCGTCCCAGGGGCCGCATAATATTACCACTTGGGCTGCAGGTTGCCGACTCCTGGCCTAGGATAACATAAGGCTCTAAAACTTGACATACAATTCCTCTTCACTCAGGTAATAATGTATTTACTTGCGTAATGAACGCACTCACATAATAAACACACCCCCAACTTCAGTCACCAAAATTTGGATATTTTTCCCCCCGCATAATAAACGCACCTTCCATATTTCATCCGTTATCTTTAAAAGCACACCTTACACAAGTGGTGGACTGCTCTTTAAAAACCTGGGAGCTGTGGTCGTATTGTGGTGCTTAAAACATATGCGAGGGCAGAGGGTAGGGTATGAAAAGATAGACTCTTAGTTTCATGTTACCTGTTTTATTTATCTCCAGCAGTTCACTGGATCCAAATATCAGTAGTCCAGCCAGCTTATAACAAACCCGAGCATGACACGGCATCCGTTCACTGTATCCCGAAGTTTGCAGTAAATAAAACAGCTTTAACCAGTTGCAAGTAAAAACACATTTTTTTTATATAGTCAATAATGCACGTGTTTTGAAGAGTAGAAGCGACAAAATGGTCTCGAGTTTAATTAAAGTGGCAGCGTGCTCTTCGCTAAAGCCCTTGGCATGCACAAGCTGGACGAGGTTATTGAAGTAGCCAATTGCTACAGGCACGCTTGTGGGCACTGGCTCCACAGTTTCGCCGTCATCATCATCCAATTTCTCTAAATCTCTCTTGCCGAGCACTTAATTCACAATGCTACCCCCCCCCCACCCCCAACCGTGCAGCACGGTTTCACAAAGTCGGTATCATCATCGGCACAATGACATCATCAGAGCAGATGTCCTGCCCTCCCATGGAGTTGATGACGCACTGCCATAAATCGCCACTGAAGTGGCCCTCTTTGGAAGCTTCAGGCTCGGCATTGTGTCTGACGTCAACGAAGTCGGCCTCACGAAAACAATTGCAAACACATGTAGCCATTACCTCTGCTCGCAAAGCCTTCACCATCTCCACAGCTGAAAACAGGAACACCTGAAGGGGCAAGTTGGCTGCTGGGTCATCAGCAGCTATGAGCAAGCCCTCCACAACGTGGCACGCTCAAGCCAAGCGGTTGATGTGTTAGGCGCAAAATGCCTCCCATCCACCATTCCGACTACTCACGCACGCCAACAGTATATGAACAGTGAGCTAAACGCGCACGCACGACAAACAAGCAAGGCTGCGTGGAACTGCTCTGAGCCCGTTTTTAGCCAGAAAAGGAGACTTCTTAATTTAAAACAGCGTGGCTGGCGTTTCGGAATGGTGGAAACGGGCGAAGGAGTTGCTATAAAAAGAGCACAGCAAACTTGCGGGAGCCAGGAGAAGGAGCTGCGATAAGAGTGAAGAGAGGCACACTGTGAGAAAGCGACCTTGAAAACCAAATCACGCGGGAAGAAGGCAGGTCAGTTAGCTTGCTTGAAAGGTCCATGAAATACGCAACTCAAACATACTTGTGAGAGTGGCAGAGGTCAAAGAATCGTGCAGAGGTCCACGTGCAGAGGTCCATGTGCAGAGGCCAAAGAATCGTATTGTGGTGTCTTCAGGCTTTTGCAGCCTCGCTGATTTCATTATTCATGATTCGTTAGGTGTAACAGCAGTTTTTATGCTTCCGCGCGCTTGAAGAAAGCATGCTGAGTGGAGTGCATGGGGTGCAAAGTGAGTGAGAACATTTCCTAATCACAAAATGAACTGCAAATTATCAAAGTCTGTGGGGTTGCACAAGTGTGTGCGCTGGAATAAAGATGCAACATTGATCCATACATGACACTGACGCAGACGATCAGGTACAGTCGGCGGCAGGCAGTGTGTGCAGATGGTCTGGTCACTCCAGGCCGGCGGCACCAACGACAGTGAAGCAAGACCAGCAATCAAAAAATGAGGGTGTCACCAGTCAGCCGACCGGTCTTCGAAAGTTCGGTGGTAGTGTGAAAACACGGGCCTCATCTGGTGATGCGGGGTGCCCAGAGTAGCGGGGGGGACAAAAGACGAAGGGCGTAACAAAAAACAGTCGGGAAGAGCGAGAACTAGAGAGCTGCGAAGGCAGGGTCGGTATTTTACAATAAGAATTCTATGGGAGCTTCACCGATGGCTTATCGGTGGTCAAAAGTGGTGTCCCGGGAAGTCGCCAGAGTGCTGACTTCGTTCAGTGTAACCGATTGGCAGCATTCAGAGATGTTTGTTGTAAGTGTGATTTTGTGCCATTGAAATAATGTACATTTCTACAGTCACATGGGTATCGTTCAGTTTAAGTAGAAGTTTGTTTTTAGTGCGGTCCTTTTATGTGGGCTCAACTGTATTATGATCTCAGTTGTCCTTTGTAAGCTGTCCCTCCTTCGTACACTGAGAATTGGTTTGTTCCTTCCAGCCATCAAGAATTTTAGAGCCAGAGAGCTTCATAAGATGTTCATCTGAAACAACACCATAAATGGCACTTGTGGATCAATATGGCGTGAATGTGATACGAGTGTCGCCAAAGACTTTAAAGTTGGGAAAATTTTCGTACAACTTTCTGTCTCGCAGTTCAAGGACATCGTTGCTGGCCATCTTACTCGATGTCTTGTATCCAGAATTTGTCATGCTTGTCAGTCAGGGTTTTGGCTACCGAAATCGGGAATCTTATTCTTGCTTTTTCATCTGAAATTTCACTGTGGATGACATGGTATTTGATGTGTTCATGAGCCTTCGCAAATTAATGGAATGCTTCTTCGGTGAGTACACTTCTCAAGTTCTCAGGCTACAACTGTGTTTTGAAAAAAAAAAACGGTTCGGTGGCAGTGCTAGCCACCTTCCACTGAGCCCAACAAGGGGACGCAGCTGGAAATGTTACACAAATCCGGCCAACACCAGCTGCACACAAACACTATAATCTAATATGGTAAACCAATACTCACCATCCACACAAGGTTACCCCAGCTGCCGGGAGGGTCTTAGAGTTCCAAACTCCCAACACTGGCTCAACATCAGGATCCCCCCGACACCACCAAGCCATGTGTGAGGGAGTCGAAAACTGGCTTGATCGACACCACTAAGCAAGCACCCTTGTGGGCCATTAATGTGTGTCGGGCTTCACATTCAGAACAGACACATACTTCTAGAGAAAAAGTTATTTTTCGTTTTCTTAAGCAAAATGCAAACACACAAATTTCACAACAGTTCTCACTCTGCTGGGCCAAGTTTAAAGCCTATGTGCAGTTTGCATAGCCCATCATTTATTACTAAGTTTTGGAATAACCAGGACTGAGCATGACAATATGACATGAAAACAAAAAAAAGGCAGCTCATACCAGCGCACCAATGTGTCCTGTATGGTGACAGTCAGTGCATGGCCAAGATGCAAATCACCAGTGATGTTCGGTGGAGGCAACACCATGCTGAATGTGCCTTCTTCCTTCTGCATCAAAAAAAAAGTTATCAATAAAACCTCCAAATTCTAAACCACCATAACAGTTATAGTCACCTTTCACAATTCCACATATGATAAACCCCCTAGGTGTATTTAGTAATAATGCACTTTGTAATGCCTATTCTGTGCATTAAGAAAGAAACAGCAAGTGAATTAGGCATACATACAATACCCTTCAACGAATGACACCTCTGCTTAGCCTTAAAATGACACTAAAGTCAAATAACAATTTACGCGCCCCGTCACGGTGGTCTAATGGCTAAGATACTCGGCTGCTGACCCGCAGGTCGTGGAATCAAATCCCGGTTGTGGCGCTGCATTTCCGATGGAGGAAGAAATATTGTAGGCCCGTGTACTCAGATTTGGGTGCACATTAAAAAACCCCAGTTGGTCATATTTCCGGAGCCCTCCACTACAGCGTCTCTCATATACATATGGTGGTTTTGGGATGTTAAACCCCACAAATCAATCAATCAATCAATAACAATTTACGTCACAGTTTAAGCTCAATGTATAACAATATCTAAAATGACAATGTTATCAACAGCAGTGCCCTACTTACCGAGAAATTAAGGTCAATGCACAAGGATACATTCGCTGCAGTAGGACATTCTCAAAATGATCCGATGACGTCAGACGAACTGCCTACAATTAAGTGCTAGTAATCGATCTAGCTACATTAAAGAATCTTCTGTGCATCAAGACACGCAATAACATGCTGCTTGTTCGTTTCTGTTGCATTGATGGAAAAAAAAAAACGCCGGAGGTTACTATGGGGAATGGAGCAAGTGGTTCAAAAATTCAATTTTTGCGTGGTTAAACTAGACAGGTCATGCCATCTAGCGGGTCCCAGTTGAACCAAAACACGTCTGCCATCTCGGAGCCAATGTAAGAAAATTGATCAATGGCCGTTGCTGCTGTGGCTCCCGCTGCTTTCGTGTTGGCGGGGCCGCACAGTCAAGCTGGGCAACGTTGTGCACGACAACAGTGATGTGAAATGGCCCGCTTCTTGAGGCGGGTAACTTGAAGTGCTCTAGCCCAATGCGGACCACTAAAACATGACTTTATTTCAAAATAAGTCCTTCCTTGGCACAAAAGTAACACTATAAAGTTTCTGGACCACTCTTTCAACAATCAACGTCGACTTAATAGTTGCGTTTAGTGTCCCTTTACGGCAAGACACGATACCAGATTGTGAAACAAACAAATGCATAGGGGCATGGTCATTAGTTCCTAATTCAAATATAGCAATTATGAAAGAATGAAAATGGAGAATAAAACCTGCCATTGAAGGAGCCCACAACCTTATGCCCTAACCAGTTGGCTTAAAAACAAGTGGTGGCTCCACTTGTTTTTAATCCCTGTCTGGTTTCTTGAAGGGTTGTCCACAGGCAGGTATATAGAAACAGTCATGTTTTATCTTTTGAGAATAGCAAAAAGCCTATCAGTGGTCAACTGAATGCTTCACAATGGGGCAAAACCATAGCTTTCCCCGCAAAGAGCAATCGAAGGCAACTGGCTATTCCTTCTATTTGGACCAAATGCCCAACTGAAATCATTAATTGTCAGCCATTGAGGCATCACTAATCAGTCAGAAATAAGAATCCAACCAAGGAGCAACTTGTACAAAGCACGCATGGCATGAAAATGGTGAATAATATAAAGGTGACAGTTTCCTAACAAATAAGAGAGACCATCAATGGCATGCCAAACTTTGAGCAACTGAGACATGCTACAGCACAAAGCTTGGTTAGGCTGAATATAATGACAGAAAGCCCACCGCTGGAATGGAGCGAGTAAAGAGTGTTGGGCACATTACAGAAAAGCTGCAGTTGCATAAACGATCCAATTAAGTGTAAACAGGTGGACTATTGAACCTTGGCGCAAGCTGTACTCAAATGTACACAACAAGGCGCAGGGATATGGAATTGCAGCAAAATGGCACAACAGGTGCAGCTGGACCACCACTGCTTCTAGGTTGTTTCTAGGTTTCTTCTAGAGGTATTAGCTAGGAAATGCTAGGTTGTTTCAATGTTGATTCTCAGTGAAAAGAAGTTCGAATTTAACCACACAGAGTCACAAACGTGACACAAATGTCCCAATTCTAGAGACAGAAATTACACTGAAGCCAAGTGGTTGCCCCTGTGATACAGTCACAGACACAACATGGAAGTCCCACTAGAGGCAAACTCACACTAAAACCAAGCGTAGATTTACAGTATGTCTTCATTGGCGTAGGCCTTTCATCGCTTCAGGGTCAATGTTGCCTCCTTCCTTCTTAATGGACCAGTGATGAGTAACGTCCGCTGTCGGGTTAGTTGGTGGATAGCTGAATTTGAATTGATGGCGCAAATGTTTAGACAAGAGCGAAGAAAACGCGTGTCTTCTTTGCTGCGGTCTAAACATCAGTTCAAGTTCGACCAGTGGCGAGTACTAGGATATACACAACTTCTGTGGCACACACCCATTTATGACAATGATAGGTTCTTGTAATTACCATTGCATTTTTCGTTCCCTAGTGTTGGGCTAAATATTGCCTTCTTTTTTAGAGGACCAATGGTGAGAAGTGGGACTTGCCCAATTTCTGTGGCACACACATGTTTATGAGTCGTGATACCGCATGCATGTTATGGCAGCTTAAACAGTTTTCCTGTTGAAACAATCACAATACTTCAAAGTGTTTCACTAATCGCCTTACTGTGTCAGGTACTATTGGGCCAGGCAGGTCTGTAATTCTTGATGCTGGAAGCTTTGTGAGCACGCTGAGACAATGTTTTCCTATCGCTGCAACCACCATGCGTGGAAAAGGGTCACCGCCCCTTCTCGCATTAGGACTATCGTTCTTTTTATGCCTTCTGGCACTAAGAAACACAAGAGCACATTGCCAAACGGGAACACATACCTGCGAAGTTCAAAAATTCTGAATCCGGGAGATTTCAGCAATGGGAAGAAGTGTATGCCTATCCTCTCACTACCATTTTTTTTCCCCACATTAAAGAGATCGTAGAAAGGCTGGCACTGAGCAACGCAAGAGCACATTGCCAAACGGGAACACATACCTGCGAAGTTCAAAAATTCTGAATCCGGCAGATTTCAGCAATGGGAAGAACTGTATGCCTATCCTCTCACTACCACTTTTTCCCCCACATTAAAAAGATCGTAGAAAGGGTGAAGGATGGGGGTCCAGAACAGCCCCGTAAGAGTGAACATTGCCATTGTGGTCTTATCTTGTCTTACAAGGCTGGGCACCAAGGCCCGCCTTTCACCAGGGGTCACCGTCGGCACTGCCACTGTAACAACCATGATTATGATAGTGGTGCTCAACGCGAACACGCCATCTATCACCCGTTGGTTGTCATCCCCAAAAAACGGCTTCTATGCGAGGCACATACACCACCCGGAACGAACAACTTTACAGGGGCTGTCAGCACCCCTATAATGTGTAATTACAGTATGTGTGCATGTAGATGGGGGCAGAAGTTAGTACTGTTAGGCAGAAAATTTTGCTGGGAATTTTGTCAATATTTGCAGGGAAACATCCCCAAAATAGGGAATTTTCATGTGTCTAAATGGGAATTCTTCGGCGTAGTACGGAACATCTCTGTCCGAGTGAGTCCAAAACGTGAAACGAGTGAGTATGAGTGAGTTCCACTTTCTTTTACTGACCTACGGTCCTATCTACTCATCTTCAGCACTACGCCAGCCTTACCTGAATCAATGTTAATACTCGCGTCTCTTTACAAGCATTCCAAAGAAGTGTCGTTTATACACCGTTCCAATATATATTTATCAGAGGCGTGAATTAAACATGGGGTGCCTTGATGTCCAACCCCCACTTCTGCCAGCTCTTCCAGGTTAGTTCTTCATAATTATGTGATGTAATCATATTTTCCAAGAAAAAATGATCCAACTGATTTACGAGCACTCATAACTCGATTTCGAAAGTGCTGTATCAAACGGTGACAAGAAGAGTACCAATTATGTGAGAAGGTGGGGTTACTGAGCATTGACAACTAGGTGGAGAAAGCAGATTCCAGGCTAACGAACTCACTAGGATTCTGATCGAGCAGTGTGTCCAAGTGAGTCTGGGTGAGTTATACTTTATTTAGTGAGCTTGAGTCCTAGCGAGTGCGGTTGAAGAAACGTTTTGTGAGTCTGAATCCAAGCGAGTCTAAAGTGCAAAATGTACTTCATGAGGGAATCTGAGTGAGCTCCACAGGTTTCACTGAACTATACTTGATGGTGATGCAGACTAAACGAGACGACAGTGTTACCAAGAAATCTCAGTTGCCTCTGCAAAAGTGTGTCACTTCTGGCACACTCTTAACAGCGAAGCTATTTTAAGCTAATGTACACTCAAACCTCATTATAACAAAGTTGCATCTGCCATGCAAATACGGTTATATCCGAAAATTTATTATAAATGATTATTTATAACTATATCTATAGGAAAACTGTAATTTAGTTTTAACCAATAATTTGTTATATCTCAATTCATTATATAAAGGTTTGAGTGTAATATATATGCTATATCAAGATTAATAAACAGGTATGTGCCACAGAAATTGGGTAAGTCCCAGTACCCACCGCTGGTGCACTAAAAAGAAACAAGGCAAAGTGAGCCTCACACTAAACAGAAAAGACGACGGCTGCGAGAGGAACCAGAAGCAATAGAAGGCCTCCACCAACAACGACGTGCCCATCGATCTCTACAAGGTGAGAACGCTTTGGTTACAGAGGAAGTTTGTCCCTCGTTGGACGTTCATTTCGTGTCTCTGGCTGTTTGACAACGCCAGCATTTGGTTTCAACACAAGTTTCTTTCTATAGAGCCTGGACGTCTGCGTCGTGTCTGTGCGTGGTTGAACTCGAACCTCTCTACGCTAGGAATGCACCACCAACCTAGCATCACCTACTTGAGCCCAGCAACAACCTAGAAACAACCTGGAAACAACCCTCATCACCTTTAGCCAAGGCCTACAAACAAACA